GCTCTGAAGCTCTGAAGCTCTGAAGCTCTGAAGCTCTGAAGCTCTGAAGCGTACAGGTGTGTTAAAACACCAAGGCAGAAAGACATCAGCAGTGACTTTACAGAAGCAACTGTTGCTGCAAATCAATCAGGGAAGGGTCAAAGGTCATTTCCAAACTCTCTAGAGTCCACCACTCTACAGAGTGAAAGACTATTCACAAACTGAAAACATTTAGAGCAGCTGCCAATCTTCCCAGGAGTGGATTTCTTAGCAAATTCATCCTGAAGGTCAGACTGTGCAATGCCCAGAGAAATGAGCTCCATGTCAAACTCTGCAGGCGGTGGTTAGCAGATTAAAGGTCAAAGGTCAAGACAGGACAAGTGAAAAAATGCTGAACATGTGTGTCTTGTGAACAGGCTACAGGAGAACGTCACTTCTTTCTAAAACAAACCAACGTTGAGGTTTTACCCATAATGCACAGGGCTGAGACAAAACCAAAAGCAGGCTCCCAGTAGCGTTACCTCACAAACTGTCAGCATGATGGTGGAACTGGTGGTTTGAGTTTGTTTTAGCCACAAGAACGTAGACCAAACTGGGTCATGGTGCAACAGAACAATGACGTCAAACACAGCAGTTAATCTACAACATAATGGGTCAAAAAGAAAAGAGCCAAGGTGCTGCAAGGGTCCAAAGTCCAGAACCTGAAGGTGACAGAACTGCTGTGGTGGGTCCGTCAGAGAGCTGAGCAGAAACCTCAATGAACTGAAGACATGTGACATGAAAAGACAAAATATTTCAAGCTTTTATCTTTTTTGTAATTTTGATGATTATGGTTTACGAATACTGAAAAACCAAATTTAGAAATTCCACAGCCAGCTTTTGTAGCTTCGACAGTGTGGGACGGTGCTGAGTCCTGCTGGAAAATAAAACCAGCGTCTCCATTAAGCTCTGAAGGAAGCAGGACGTCTCTAAAATGTCCTGCTAGATGCTGCATGGACTGTGGACTTCAGAAAACCCAGTGGACCAGCACCAGCAGAGGACATGGTCCCAAACCATCGCTGACTGTGGAAACGTCACTCTGGACTTCAAGCATCATGGATTCTGGACCTCTCCACTCGTCCTCCAGACTCTGGGACCTTGATTTACAAATTACATGTGGATTTTATTTTCATGTGAAAAGAGGACATTGGACCACTGAGAGACAGTCCAGTTCTTGTTTCCTCAGCAGGTAAGATGCTTCTGATGTTTCTGGTTCAGGAGTGGCTGGACTTGAGGAGTGAGACATTTGTAGCTCAGGTCCAGGAGTTAATCAGCTGATCAGGGTGAGGCACCAGGAGTTTACAATTCTGAACCTCTTCATAATATTCTAATGATCTGAAACACTGACTTGTGTTGTTTTCATTAACTGTAAGCCATAATCATCAAAAATACAAGAACTAAAGCCATGAAATATTTCACGTTATGTGTAATGAACCTATTGAATATATGAGTTTCAGTTTCTAAAATGACTGACAAAAGATTATTGAACTTTTTAAAGATATTCTATTGTTTTTAGATGCACTTGTATATAAAAATGTCTGAGGAAAATGTATTTTTTTTCATCGATTATAACATTTTATTGACATTATTATTAAGAAAAAGCCTTAAAAAAAATCCGCCTTATTTAAATGTGTTGAGCAGCTTTCAGAACATCAGGCTCGTGTTTCTGAACGTGGACTGGTTTTGTGGTTTTAGTTCACCGGAGCGTTAAACAGAACCGTCACGGGATGTTTACCGACTGTTTAGCTGCCAACACGGTGACTGTTTGACTCGAAAACAACAACCTTCCAAACGCTGTGAGAGAAAGCACCAACTGTTGTTTTCAGCCAATTTAATCTCATTTACGTGGATAGTGCTGCTGTTCGACGTAATGTTTATATGTTATGAGTGCTTAGTGTATATTTAGTTGATGTTTTTCTTAGTTCATATCTTAGATCTTATTACTGTTTTTCTTTTACATTTTATTGTTGGATGTAACTGGGACCCTGTGTGCATAATCTCGTTCCACCACATGCACCACATGAGGTGCGAATGACAAATAAATCTCTCTGACTCTGAGAAGTTTCAGTAACAAACAAATGGGATTAGGCTTTAATTTAAGATGCTGAAATTTTTGTTTTAGCCATTGTAAAAAATAGACGACAATCATTTTGCATTTTGTTGAACATCACTCACAGAAACATCTGTGTGTTATACAATTCAATTCATTGCACTGCACAGAAACTTTCATATATATAAAAAATAAGTTCATGACATTATTTATCTGAGGAGCAGACTGTTTTGAGTTTAATTTCATCACAGACTCTCATCTTGAGCAAGCATGAAAGCAACAGTGGAAAGGAAAAA